GGGGGGGTCGGGAGTTGGAGAGGTTTTAGTCCTTGTTAAGTCTGAAGGGAGTGAACGCTAGGATGAATTTGGTCAATTACTGACTCTTGAAGGACTCTGCCAAAGATTTGCGCCGATTGGAGCTATAGGCAGACGCTGGTTTGGTCTCTTTTAAGTTCTTTCTCAATCGACGACTGTAGAGCTCTCTCATCGGGAGGCCTGCCATCCTGACTTCATCTTCGTCACACGATCCCAGAAGATTTTCCAAATCCTTGTTTTCCTTCATACTTACCTGACTGTGAGTTAAACTGAAGGAAAGCATAATGAGACAGTCAGACCTGGCTGCTTTAAACAGGGCATCGAGTATTTGATGAGTAAACGGAAAATAACAAACATGTGGTCAGACCTAGTATCAAAATGGAATGTCCACTTTCTTATGATAATTGCATCTAAATTCAGTTTTTTTAAAGCAGATGAGCTTTATTATCATTTTAAAAATATTCGTTCTGTTGTGTTATTGGATCCTGCTGTGCATGGGAGCAACGAGAACTAGAAAAGAAAAGGATCAAAGACTTATTGGTTTTGATGTAACGTGTATAGCAAGAGCAGCAAATTTCGTAAACTTCCTCTTAAACCACTGTGAATGACATCATATAATAAGTAATATTTAATTACCCTGGAAAATGTTGTGAGATCTACAAAATTGAGGGCCACTGAATATGAATGGAGGGAGATTTTACATGAAGTCGTTTAAACTACCGAAATTAAAAAGGAAAATCGATTCTAACCTATTTATACGTTTCATTATGGCACCAAATATTAGGTTAACGTATTTAACTAAATCCGACTTTGTTGCAAAGTTAAACCCTGTTGAACAGTATGCCGTTTATACTACTCATGGATTTCGGGCAAATTATAATGGGTTCATAAAAGGAAGCACTTTGATCCTCTAACTTTTATTTTGTTAACAAATTGAGTATATGGTTTATGTTATACATGAAACTCTCATGAACCATTAGATCAAACACGGGGAAAAATAAAACAATTTGACCACAATCTCATAACTTACTTGTACTCTGCTCTAATGTATATTTACTCGTTTGGTTTAGCATTAGTAATGTAAATAAGAACTTCACACTTTGTAACTTGATAGTTGTCAAATGCTGATTTCGTATTGGCCTGCTACTTATGTTTATCAGTTTTTGAGTCAAGTGGATGTGACAGACAGTCATTTCACCTGGACGGATATTCTGACACTTCTCAATATGCCCCAGTAACACCACGTACCAAAGTGGAAATTTAACACCTATCCCTGGTTCCTGCAACTTTGATTGGTGCACCTTTTGCTACTGATAAATTGAAACCGATTTTGAACTGTGTCGGGTAGATGCCACAATACTTCAAATAACCTTTAGTGCATTCAATTTTTGTTAAATTCCATCCTTTCTATTGAAGGCTGATTGCGCTTTCCATTCGATCAATATGAAGTGGCTGGTGAACTCAGTTTTCACTACTTTGGTTTCCGACTGAAAAGGAGTCATTGGCACGATCAGCTTATCTCTTGTAATTTGGTTAATCTCCTCATTTCCTCTCTTTTCTTTTGTACATTTTATAGGGCACTTCGTTCTGTTTGCAATTTTCGCTGACTGTCAAATGCACAATTCGAATATCTTGTTATATATTCATCTATATTTGAAATATCTAATGCCTCACTCCGCTTTTCGACTGAAAATTTGTTATCATCTTCCATTGTTGTCGTCTACAGTGGTTTCTGAATTAATAGTATTATTATTCTGATGTTACCAATACAGTGTTCGTGTTATAGGCATTCTCTGTTGTGATGAGCGCATTGAGCCCTGAAGAAGCTAACCGTTTAACTCTTACTATTCTACTCGGCACAGAAGGCTACAGTTTTAATGCAATATCTGTTTATTGATTATGCTGGTACTGCTTCAGCAATCACCTACATTTCAAGTTCAAGTAAGTCTATTTTAATCTGAGAATCGAATTGGAATCGAGGTGTGACAGAAGACACGAAAGGTAACTGAAACTAATTTCGAAGTAAACTTCAGGCCTACCTGATTAAACTGGTGAAAAGACACCCTCTTGACCTGAACGACGTTGTGGCAAATTGAAAAACGTTAATCTGATATAAGGCAAAACTACTTCATCGAGGTGGTATAAACAACAAGGGAATCAAATAGGTGAAATGTTTTTTTTCAACAGCGTTGGGATAATCTCAGCTCCGAGCCTGACAGTTGGTTCACTAACTTTAAACTAAATGAAATAGTTTCCTATTCAATATTTCGAAACTTTCATTTGGTTTATAATTTTAGCTTTCTTGCATTCATTCTCCATTCAACACCATCTTTACAAATTAGTACCATAAACTCACGGAAGGTCAGTAGATTTAGGTAAAGGAGGCGGTTGGTCAACCTGACGCATTGCCTCATAGACGCGAGTTGAGTTATTTTGGGCTGTGATATTCTCCAGGGAACGATTGACTATGGCAAAATGAGCTGCAGGCCACTCATTGCCCGCTAAAATATAATAAAACATGCTAACTTTATCAATTGCCTAAGATGGAGTACAGATATATGGACTGGTAAAGGCAACTCACGATGGGAATTTGCAATAGATGCTGGTCCGAAGACTTTCTGCGGCATGTAGGGTTCGTGGCTAGGGGGATCTAAGAGATTAGGGATACCCCCTTTGCCCCAGTACTGCCAATGTGGTCGCTTTGATCTGGAACCGCTTATACCCGACCTTCGACTGGAGCTTTGCGATGACTTCTCCAAAGCCGAGGATGCGTACGAATTATCGCCATCTTAGAATAATTGATGTTGGGAAAATTGCCCTTCGTAAAACAATTCTTCGATTGACAAGTGAAAACGTTAACTACTCTGTTATGTTAGTGTGGTTACATATTAACAATGAAATCTTAAGGGAATTAATTAATTACTGATTTTCATCGATGAATCAATTTTTTAGCCCTTTGATCTTAGAAATGACTCTATCAGATTCTAATCTGGACTTCAATGAGCCATTTTCATTTATGGAAGAAAACGAGATCTTATGTTCAATGAGGCGGGGTGTACGATAGATTTACTTCCACGTGATGTACCCTGGGCAACGTATAATTATACGGCAAAAAAGTCTTTTAACCGGCATTTGACTTCTGACTTCAAACTACCATGGCTCGACTGCTTGTCATATTCGACCATTTCCACAGTACTGGTCTTACCTTTTTCTCT